TGTTGTTATTTATTGGGCCCATCGCGCATAGCTGGAACTCTGAAAGAAAAGCGGGGAAGGCGGTGAATACGGCACTCAAACGTGCTGTCATTTCCTGTTTGCGAGCGACACTCTGCCATTTAGACTCCACAATGCATGCGGTATGTGCCGTGAACATGCAGATCACCGACTTAGAATCGCAGCCAAAAACCACCTGATGGCCGATTGACCGCAACCGGTTCATGTTTAATTGCAATTTGAAAGCAATTCCTCGTTTATTTTTCTCTGGGAGAGAGGAATGCGTTTCGTTGCAGTGTAGCGTAGGACAACGCAACACTGGAAATTTTGTGATCAATTATTAAGACAAGTTTGTGCAGGCTGCTGCTGGGAAAGGAGCTGAACACAAGACTCAGTTTCAGCAGCGCTTTTGCTGCTTCCACGTAGGGCGATGCAAAAGCTTTGTGATCGTTGCCATTCTGTGCACATGTTGGAAAACAGAAACAGAGGTCATGACGTAGTTTTTGCATGCATTATAAGAGGGCCTACCCCGTGAGAGGTTTGCGTGCGCTTACCCACCTGCACCGTCTGATGCCGCACGGACCTTGCAGTCTCCAGGGAGCCATGTGCTCCGAGGGCAGTTGCACTCTTGCCCAGCGTCTTCGACGCCTGGTCCTTTCACTGGGCCCTGGCCTCCTCTTCTTTGTGCGTCTGTGTAGTAATTCCTCAATTTTTGTTTGTTTTGTATTTTTCTCCCCCCCTTCCAATCCCTCCAGCGCGATGACGATGTTCCCCCACACACCGCCTTGGCGCCCACGGCCGTGTTCGGTGTCGGTGCAACGGCCAGTGCGGGCGCCGGCTTGGTGGGGGTGAAGCGTTGATGCGGCCGTTGAGGCACGGGAACGCTGCGCCTTGGCTGGCGCCTACGATGACGAATGAAGAGTTTGGGCCGGCGATCGGAGATGTCGCCGGCCCGGGACCCTGTGGTTTGCGGCCCCCCGGCACCTCCGCCTCCGACCTGACGGATCAACGAGGTGGTCCTGCGGCGGGCACGGGGGGGCGTGAGAGACCGCCAGTGGGATCATTCTGTGGCGATGGGCGCCATTGCGTCTGGTGGTGACGGGCCCCAAGGCCAGCGTAAGGTACACGGCAGTGGCACGGTGGACAGACACACTTTTGAGGGATAGGGACAGGAATGGCTGCAAGGAACAGAAACGGCAACGTTCGGGCGATGAGGCGTCATGGCGATGGGCGCCGCCCCCTCGCTCTTCTCCTCGACCCGCCTCACCTCGGAGGAGGGGGCCCCATCGCCGGGGGGCCCAGCCTGCTGCTCACCCGCCCCAGCTGGTGTTTGCCCAGTTGAAGCCTTGGTTCTCCCAGCCAGGGCAGGTGCCCTGGCTGGGATTGCCCCGAGGGCCGACGCTCTGCGACCAGTGCACAACCAGAGATGAGTGCTGATATCACTCGATTGTGGCGCGGCGACGGTGGCGATCGAACGAGAGGGGGACTCACCAGGGGCAGGTCCCCGAGCACCACCCTGTTGCCCTGCATGAAGGGGGCGGGGGGCGGCGCGAAGACGGGGGCGGGAGGGAAGGCGGGAGGCGCCTGGGCAGGTGCGATTGCCGGGGCCGGGACCGCCGCCATGGGCGCCTGAGCCGCGTGGTGGAGCTCCTCCGGGCTGGGCATGTAAGGCCCGCCCACCGCCAGCGGCTGGAAGTTCCCGACGTACGCCATCACGCCGAAGCGCTCCGGCGCCCTCACGGCCCTGCCACGGGATGTCCGGTAGACGCCCTGCAAGGGGCAGACAAGAGCTTGTGTTGTGGCGCTGGGGCCAGGTGGTCGCAACTGGGCAGGCCATGGATGGGGGTGCGAAGCGGCGCCTGATCCGCCATCCCCCGCTCATGGGGGGATCGCTCCGCGCTCGAGCGAAATCGCCAGACGGACAAAAGACGCGCCAAATAGGCGGTGAACCAGGCTCTTGTAAGCTCCACTCCCCAGCCCCGCACGGCGATCGCGGAAGGTAATGCAGTGCTTCTAAGCGCGACTCGAATACTCGATTTTCTTTGAGCAACGGCGAGCAAGGTCGCGGGGCCGACCGGCCGACCTACCTGCTCCCAATGTCCCGGGGTGAACATCCTTCCTGCGAACATGGGAGAGGGAGACAATGGCGTCAGTGGATGGCCCGACGGCCCGGGCAAGCGTGCGCAAGGCCCCGGGGCGCCGGACGTCGTTTGGCGGGGTCGCCCGTCCGAAGCGTCACCGCGAATCGGATGCAAAGTCTCGTCCGCTTTGTCTCACGGCCCTCCGCCTGCGATTTTAAAGGGACTCTGGGGAAGTTCCACCGACAGGTCGGATCCGATCGCTGCGCCAGCTCGACGCCTCTGCCCCAGGTCGTTTTCTGACGACAATGCCCGCGCGGCCCCGATCCACGATCCCGCGATCCCCCCTCCGCTGCGCGCGGTCAATCCAGAACTCGCCTCCGGAGATCAGCGACGGGGGTGGGGTGAGGTCTTGGGCTGGTGAGCGCCGGTGCTCCTGCTCAGGCGTGCGGGACTGACGGCTCGGGGGCGCTGCTGGTCCCCTGGCGCCAAGGTCCGGGGCATTGGGTGGCGGGAGAGCACGCTTTTTTTGGACGCATCTTTTTGCACATCCCGTCCGCGTCAGCTCTCTAATCAACGGAAATGAATTGATCCTTATGGCTGGAACCCTTTTAGGGGCTGCGGGCAATTGTCGCAGCCGACTTTTGGAATATGCTCCAGTCAGACAAAATTGACGGCCACTGCAAATGGCCTATTTTAGTGCAGCTGAAACCAGGAAAACATAAAGCGTCAGCCTCACACTCAACAGCCAATTTTGTTCGAAGTATTGTCTTTATGTACGCCCACATCAACGCGTTTTGCCACGCTATAACGCGTAAAAATGTTAGTACTGCTTTACGCATAAGTACATAAATGCCTATTTACTATTTTGCACGTAAATGCATAAATACGTTGTGCGTTTGAGCCACAGTAACAAGCCTGGCTGTACGGTCAGGCAAGGGCATGGCCAGCCACAAACTGCGTTCGATGCAGATTCATCAGTTGAAGTAAAGAGATGCACCCTCTGCGGTATCACCTTAAATTTGACATAACACTCTGAAAAGGTCGAGGCAACTTGCCCAGTTCGTGTTGACATGTCATCACACATTGGGCAACTTACCCATTGTGGTTATGGCCTGTGTAGGCCTTCTGTGCTAGGGCGAACTGGGAACTGGTGAGGCGGTTCTTCCTGCCGCTTACAATGGGCGAATCGATAATTGTGTTGATGAGGAATCTCTTTGGCGTAGGTGCGCTTCTTGCGCTCATGTCTAACAACATGTGCCCCTTTTTCTCACATACAGCCAAGAACTCCCAGAAAAGCGTCCACGTCAAGAAACTAGAACCATAGGAAATGTCGCTCCCGTGCCCAGCCAACGAGACTGGGGCACGTCCATGAAAGTCTGTAGATAACATTTGGAATTGGTCCCATGACCCAGCATCGCGAACATTCTGCAATTCGTGATTTTTTTTGCGTAAAATACTTTGGCCAGATATGTGCGGTGCTCCAAGCTTGCTGTTTGGGCGCGAATACGTGTGCATTAAAGCTTATTTACAAGCAAGTACCTGCTACAAGCAAGTACTAGCATAGATTGGCATTTGTAACTTGTAAATGCATCCCATGTGCATCCTATGGGGCTGCTGTGGACCTGCAACCTAGAATGCATCGTCGATCAAGGACTCGCTATTGCCCACATGCGCTATGCCGACCAGGGGAGTGCTCTGGTCCGCCAAGCACTGGGTCGGCGCGACGCAAAATTATGCAAATATAGGCATAAAACGGGGCATCTCTCAATAAAAGCACTTTTGCGAGCTTGCGATTCCGAGCACCTGTGAGATGCCAACAGTACAGTGGGCATGGTTGGATAATGCAGACTAGTATATTAGTGGGAGGAGTTCGTACTTTGGAGCCTGGGTGCCACACCCAAGGGCTGAGACGGGAGGGTTACGCGGATAGTACACAAGCTGGGATTGTTCGTACATTAAGGCGAGGGTGACCTTTTTGGGTATGAGTCAGACGAGTACTGTGTCGGTGCCGCACCCCACGGCTGGACTATTTATGGACGAACGGCTTTGCTTGCAACAACCACCAACGCTTGCTTTGAGTCCACACTTGCGTTTCTCTGTGCACCTGCGGGATTGTGCCCTCGCTCAGTGGTTACATGCTGCACTGATAGTCGCCCTCTATGCAGTGACATCATTGCCGCCGAGTTCAGCTGGATCGGGCGGGTGTCCGTTTTCGTGCGTGATCTGCCCAAGCCGGGAGATTCGTCATTTGGACGCCATTCCTGCGGCGTACGAGGCTCAACGCCACATGTGCTCAGCACCTGTTCCGTTTCTTGTTATCGACTTCTCAGAGCAAGCCCTCGCGCAGAGATCAGGTCGGTTGAATTCGTTACACGTGGGTGGAGCGGAGCAAGAGACATCGATTGGCGCTGCTCCCTCACATATATACACCGTTACAATTCATCGTACACGGCTATGCGTCCATTCTCTTCCAAATGCTTCCCAATCGCCACAGATCCGCAATCCCTTCCAATCACATCCCACGCCAGAGCCTGGCAGCACATTCCAATCCCTCGTCCTAACTTATGCACACGATGACCACATGTCCTTATCCCCCGGCAATTCCCTTGGCATCTATCCATCACGATACTCGTCGGAGACGTCCGCGTGCTCCGGTCGTCATGGATGGGATGCTGTCCCCGCGTTCACCGCTTCTGCACCTCGGTGGTCGGCTGCACTAAACCCGCCACCGCACAACCGGCCGGTGTCCGAAATGGGCAAGAAGAACGCCGCGAAGTACGCCGCCGTGAAGCGCTTCGCGCCCCTCCGGCGAAAAGACGAAGTGTGAGCGCCGACCGCCTCATCGCGCGTTCCCATTCTCCCGAAGGTTGCTGCCGTCGCGCGACTGAAGCATTTTGCTGCATCGCTTCGCCCAAATCCCAGGGGGGTGCAGAAGGGAACGAAGAAGAAGGACGGCAGGGGGAAGGACGCCAGCGGGGCCGAGGTTGCCAGACACGCGTGAGTGGATGATTCGACGAAATGGCTGATTGGACGCTGGCGGCTTGTCGGTGTGGGGACTTTGGGGGGGGGCTATGAGTGTTTCTGATGCGCTCTAAATACATTCCCTGGGACAAAGGATGAGCGGCCCGACGGCACCTGCGCACAAATTCTTCTGTTGATGCTTTAACGCGTGATTGCCGGAACGCGAGGGTTGCTCCACACGGGGACTGTGAAGGATGTTAGTTCGGTTTGGTCTTGACACTCCCTGCTCTTACGCCCAGGCCGCACCATTGTACTGCGCTGTTCTTCTCGTACAACACCCATGTGGGGCGTCCCTATCAAGTGATCGTTGACACCAACTTCATAAACTTCGCCATCAAGAACCAGGTGGACTGCGCCTGGAGGCTGGAAGTCTTCGAATCCGCCTCGACAGCTTTTGCAACGAGCAGAGCAAGGCCCACTGCCTTTGCACCTTGAAGGATTCTTCAAGAAGAAGAAACCGCATCTGCAAGTTGTGGTCCCGAGGTGCAGTCCGTCGTGTGGCCTGCACAATTCATACCGTGATTGGCAGCAGCCTCGTTGGTGCCAGGGATGGTGAAAATCACTTTCTGGGCATAGAGCTGAGACGAGAACTTCGCGCGGCCTTGCTAATGTTCTTGCAGTTGGTTCTGTTGGCACACATCAGTTGGCACAGGTGTTACTGTGCCACCGCCGGGCCAGTGTTTCTGGAACTGTGTGGATTGTTGGAAAACTAGCCACACACGTTCCATCGAAGCCATCTTCTTAAGGTCTGGTCGTTTCCCTGACGGAGATCCAACTCTTTTCTTTCCCTTCTGTGGGATTTTCCATCTGGAGTTCTTTAAACATCATGCTCAGATGAAATTGCTGGACCTAGTTCTGCCCATCATGGCAAGTTGATGCAATCGGTGTTTTGCCACGTCCTTGGATATACAGTCTGCTCACAGCTCCAGTGCTTCAAAATCCTCTGCTTATGGTCAACTGACAATTGTCAGGCTGCCCATCTGTGCTGTGCCACAGTGTTGTTGACTTCCAATGGGATGTGCGCACCTCAGCCTACCAACAATATTGTGACCTATTGCCCATGGTGGGGTCGACGGGCATGCAGCAAGCCATAGGATACCGTAGTCCTCCGTCATCATGTTGCCAGTCTTCAATCCTCACCCCTGTTTCTCAAGGTCCACGGTGTTGTGCCAATGTGTGCATTTCTCCCCTTATCCTATGTGCCAGTCCTGGTTCCACACCCTGAATGTGCAGGATGATGAGGGACTGTGTGCATCCATGGTGTGTTGCCTGAAAAGTTGCTCTGAGAAAACTGTATGAGTGTGAGTTGTCAGTGTCTACAACTGCAGTTTGAGGACTTGAAGTCAAAATCATGGATTGTGGTCTCCAAGTTCTGCTGCCATGGTCTGGCACTTTACAACAATCTACACTGCGGTCCCCATGTCTTGCCCTGCATTTCGGATTGCCGCCCCAAATCCATCAGCTGCACCCTGACCCTGACGCCATTGCCACTGCAGGACCTGCTGTGGGGCGCTTGAATGATGATGGCCGCACTGATGCCAAAGACGATGTTGGCATGCCAGATGCAGAAGCTGAGCCTTCAGAGAAGTTAAGCTGAAGGCGCATAGCATAACCCTGGTGTGTGCCCCTGCCATGCTACATGTCCTGGTCATTGTTGCATCTTTTTGCGCCGGACTCAGATACATCTTTGACATTGGTGTGGGAGGAGATCGAAATATGTTGTCCAGGTGGAGGATTCCCACAAGATCACATTGTATCCTCCTTTGTCTCTGCTATCTTCATGCACCAGTACTGTAGTTGCATATCTGTGGGCACAGTGGCTACGCCTTGTGAAATCTGTACTTTTATTAATCCGCTGTATTACTTGTTGACTGCTTCATAAATGTTTAGCAAATTTCATTCTTAATTCATGTTGTTCTTCCTCACCTCATCCCCTAAGAATCTGTCAAACAGTGCCATTTGCCTTGATCAGAAGGCACTTTGCTGAGGATTGCAGTTGTGGGAGTTTGGACGGTGCAGACTTGATGGCTGTGCCTGGTAGAATCTTGCACTATATACTGATGATTGAGTTCAAAAATGTCTACTAAGCTTTGCTTGGATAATAAGCTGAACTAGTGGCAACTGTTCCTGAAGGGGCAATTTTTCTGTTCAGTGTGACCAGCTGCGGATGCCACTCATGGCTCCTTGCCATCCAAGCAGGAGGGAGAGGGGCACGATTTGTCAACCTGGGGGGCCAGAACGGTGAGCATTCAAAGGCAGACAATGGTGAGGATGAGCCCTCTGAGCACATTCCCAGTTTGATCTTCATGCTGCAGTGTGCTGTGTGGTTTAGTTTGAGTTCAGGGACATAATCTTCCTTCCATGTGCATGAGTTTTCATAATTCCTGCATGGCGACCAGGCTAACGAACATCAGCTGCTCAGGAGGGGGATGCCCTTGGACATGTTTTCCTTTTGTGTTGGCATGATTCCTTGGATCTTGAGCCCCTGAATGCCAACACCTGTTCCAACTCATTCCTACATTGCCTTGCAGTTGGCCTAATTGGCCATTGCACACAAGAACGAAGGAAGATTTGTGTTTTGTGCAGGACCGGGGGCAAGCCTTGGAGCTAATGAAAGCTGCAGTGACAGCAGAGGTGATCCTGCCACCTGGGATCCAAGTGGAGAATCCTTTGAGCAGGACAGCGACCAAATTGACGTTGAGTCGACCTGTCACCTAGTGCAACACAAGATAGCTGCTATTCGGTGAGCTGTCCAAAAGGTGATGAGCAGTAAATGAATGCAAAGGGACATGATGCAAAGCATCTGCAGCACCTGTTGTTGGAGGTCTGTAGAGCCAGATCAGGACTCTGCGGTGGTGGTTTGAGCAAAATTGTCTTATCTTGTGCAATCAAGTTGAGTGGCACAGAAACTGTGCTCCAGCACAACAGTAGTACATTGGTTCCTTTGCAGAATGTTTTGTGTATATGTAGGTGGGTACATGGTGCTGTTCTTTGTTTTTGTATTCTGTGCTACCTTGCACAACTGTGCTGAGCATCATGCTGCAAAGAAGGCAGGGTAACCTGATGCCACTGGCTCTGTTGCAGTGCTGACAGGCAGCACTGAGGTGGGGAGCTCAACATTGAGTGAGGGAGAGACTGACAGGTAAGGTGATGACGATGCGTCTGAGCCTGGCCGTAAACGCACTGAACCGGCCACTGGTAAGCTCTTTTGGGGAGCCCCGGCTTTGGTGGTGCGCATCGACACAACATTTCTTTTGTTCTGATTGTTTCTTGCTTGGCATCCCTGCTTTGCTGATTGTCCTTGCATATGATTGCATGCTCACATACTTGTTTCCCTGCATCAATATGACTAGCAAACAGCTAGCCTTTTGCTTTTGTTGCTCGTTTCAGCACCGATCGCATTCATCATGATCAGCCACGGTGATGCTGGTTGCACGCTGAGAGAGTGCTGTCCCAGACGTAGATTCTCGTCCCAAAGGATGCTTCACATCTCTATTCGAAGTTTGGTTTATGAAAGCACACACTGCCGTGCCAAATGGTTGCTGTCTTGCTTGCAGAAATGCTGCACTCGCTGCCAATACCCCTTCCATTTGTTTTCTGCAGAAAGGATGTACTGCTGGGATGGGCTCCAGGTAAGGTCTTGGTATCTTCTGCATGCGTGCATCTTGTGGTCCATAGTGTGCAGTAATATGAGAAAAGTGTTCCTATCTTGAAAGAGATATTCAGAGACAGTCAGAACTGCCAGCTAAGACTGCAAGCCTGGCAGCAGTCCAACTTTGTGGCCATGACATTTGGCGTTCTTGTATTGCCCATCTCATTTCATATCTAATTCCTGTCAAGTTGCTGGAGATCATGGATTACCAATGCAGACTGTGTTCACTGGACTGAATCTCAAATGTCAGCAACAATACAGATAGCAATTAATAAGTAAAAACATCGTTAGTTGGCTGCCAGTTTCCACTGGCATATGCACCGCTGCAGTGCTTTACAATGTGCTTGTGTCACATGCAGATCTGACCGGTGGGCAGCCAAGCCTGGGGCAATGTTGAGTCGCAGCTTCCCCTTGGCTGGGTACCAGACTAGTGTGGTATTATTTGGACAAGAGCGCAGAGATTCAAGGTGGGCGTTCCAGCAACGACATGGTAGAGGCGTTCCATGGTGGCTATTTGAACGAGAAGTCGCTGATTGCACCCACGGCCGAGGGCGACGATGCTTATTCAAGCGCCACCACTTTTAGCCTATTGGGGGAGATCTTCATGCGAATGCTGATGCTGGTTCATGTCAGTGTTTGCAGCGCAAGCTTTGTGCCAGTGCATGACATGCACAGCTTGTGTGTGCAATGTTTCTCCAACAAATGTACGAGTCAATGAAGATGTTTGATTGTCTTTGTGTTACTACACACCAAGTGTAGGGAAGCTGAGCTTAGTCCAGTAGATTTGATTACTAATCTGCTTTGGTGGGAAAGCTTGACAGATCTCTGGCAGAGTTTTTGATATATTGCTGGACCTGGCACCGTTAGGTGTTGCGGCATGTTGCTTGCAACAGCCAGGACTATTTTCCTTGGGCATGGGATTTTGTCTGTGTGATGTGCTGTTGATCATCAGGATTTACCTGAATGACACTGGATTTGCCAGTATTCATATGTGTACACTTGTAGTGTCTGCACGGATTTGCAGAATTTCATAATTAAGCAATGATGGATATGAGTAGAGCATGGCTTTAGAGATGATGTTCTTGGTGCTGATTATGTAATAATGGTTCTTACTGACCAGAGGCCTCTGTTGTTAAGCCTGATCGAGCAAGCTGCCCGTCCAATGGCCTTATTCTCACAGTGCAATAGGGGTGATGTCACTTTTGCAGTCTATTACTGGCATAGGCTCATATTGGTCCGACATCACGTGGAGTTGTCACCACCTCCAGCGTTTGGATGTGGTCTTTGTATGGATAGTTGTCACCTGCTGGAGGTAGTGCAAATAGTTGTACACATGCCCATCAAGCTTGTTGCTGTCCTTTTGATTCCCAAAAACTTCCATCACATTAGAGAGTCCCGGTGCTGCCTGCCCTTAGAGAATATGTGGGACCCTTGCTGCCCTTGTTCATCTGAGTACATATTTGTGCCAAGCTACCAGTCTTCATGTCATCCCACAGTGCAGAAATGGGCGTTTGTAGTTCCTTGAATACACACTCAAATCAATTTAGTAACTGGAGGAGCTTACAAGCGTCGCATTGATCCTAACAATGTTTTCTCTGTATTACAAGGACATGAGCCTGAGTGAAAGTGCTTTGCAGAAGCAATGCACCAGCCTGTATGCGACAGGATCGAGTGTGCACGTGATGCGAGTGGTCTGCATGACTGAACAGCTTGCATTGGGGACTTGAAACAAGTTTTAACCAGCGCGCCCAAGGATGCACATGACCTGTTGGTCCCTGCAGCT